CTCCAGAGGTGCTGCGTCAGAATGACGCTCTGGAACAGTTACTGGGACAGGCTGTGAGCAAGTCAGCAGGACAGTTTATTTCTGTGCTGAGATTGCTGCTTCCTGATGGGAAAACAGTGGAGGCTGTCATCCCCAGGAATCAGGCAGTAGTTGTGGCTCCCCAGATGATCAGAGATCCCGGAGCAATGGGGAATGACTGCTTACATTACTCCTGGGGCAGAGGGCAATCGGGCCCTGGAGGAGATTCACCCAAAGTTATTGGTCTCTTTGTGGTTGTTCCTTGACCCTGCCAAGAGCGTGACTCAGCTCCCCATAACAGTGCTGGACCACGCTATTTACCTCCTGCAGTCCCGAAAAGCTGAGTTCCAGGCAGAGACAGGAGGAGAGCTGGAGAGGAGGATATATGGTGGTCCTTAATTCAGTGGAGTCTAGAACTGTGGCTTTCTATATAGGGACAGTTATTGTTTATCTCTTCAGAAGGTTTTGTAATGCAGTGGCCTAGCATTCTGGAACATAAAAACTATGAGGAGGGGGAGAGGAAGTAGGTGGAGGAGGAGGAGGAAAAGGAAGAGAAAGAAGAAGGCAGAGAATCCAGTCTTTCAAGTGAGGCCCCAAATCCATAAGTGAAGAGAATATTGATGTGCTAATTTTCTATTGGTGTCAGGATGATCAGTTGTAAGATTGAACTAAGGGCTTCTGATGACTTGGTCCATGTATGCCTCGATAATAATATTACACAAAAGTAAGACAGAGATATAGTGCATGTTTAGGGAATCTAGCTGTGGGCTCCAGGTGCCTGAGGATCATACACTGTCTACTAATACCTTCTAGATGGAGGTCACATATAGACTGAGGACATGGTGGGGTGAGGTAAGGTATAGGAAAATTTTGTATCATTTCAGTTTGAAGGTTTGAGCAATAACACAAAAATCATGGAGCCATAATTTTCCTTTATTTGTGGTTTGGGGTCAAGGAGAATGAACTGATAAGGACTGTTTTATGTCAGAAACAGGGCACATGTAACCATAAGCAAATGAAGTGGAGTGGAACCCAGGGTTCCACACCTGAGACCTACCACCTTTTGGTGATTTGGAGATGATGCATAATCTCTCTGGACTTTACTTTTCTACATTAAAAAGTTTTTCAATTCTTCACATTTTAATTCCTTTCCTTCAAGTCCCACTACCTAGCACATGACCTGATACAGAAAAATGATCAAGCCAACCTTTTCTCCCTATTGCTTCCATTCCTGTCTCTTCATCCCTCCACTTAAGGCAATGATTTCAGCAAAGGACCATACCTTGGTGCTGCATCCCTACTTCTGTTGGATCTGGCCAAATTCTGAAAAGCCAGGAAGTACTAATTTTCTCAAGTCTTTGGAAAGTGTGGAAGGTATGGAGATCCCCTTTAAGAAATAACTCATTGCCCACCTTCTAGAAGGCTGTCAGATGATGGATCTACCTCAGTTTTTAGTGGTGCTCACAATTTTCTTAGTATGCTCTGTCTGATGATTGAGCTAAGTGGGGGTACAAAGGCCTGGTCATTCCCACCCAACACCAGTATCTCTGAACAGGCAGTCTTTGCTCCCAAGGGCCAACTGGGCTGCAGCCCTCTGCACAGTCCTTACTTCTGTCTTGCAAAATGAGCATCTACATCCCAGGAGATGCATAAGCCCTAATATTTGCTTTTCCAAAAAGGACCTTTGACAGGCTTCAGGTGACCATCTTTGAGCTAGAGGATTCTTGTCTTTGTAGTGTAAAGATCTACAGTGCAGATTCATTTTTCATTCTATTATTCACAGACACATGGTTTAGTTCCCATCAGTTTTAGCCAGTGGTTCTCAAACAGGAGTACATATAACAATTACCTTGGAATATTTTTTCAATGTATACAAATCAAGATTCAATGTGCACAGCTGTACTGGAAGTTTGAGATGCCCCCGGGTTAAGAATCAGGGGTTGCAGCATGAAACTCCCCCTTGTTTAGGTATCTTTCAGAGATGACTGAAAACTGTGCATATGTTAACCAGTCAACTGAATCATCCTAGTTTATTTTCTTAAAAATCCCCAGCTAGTAATGCTGCAGGCCAATTTAAGAGCATAATGGATCTTATTAGAAAATATTAGGAAGAGGTAGGAAACCTTAGGAACATCTTCAACTTTGAATATTTAAGCAAAATATTCTTTTTTATTATGTTGAATTCGGAAAAACAATCAAGTCAAACTTTTTCTCTGTATTGTTTCCATTCCTGTCTCTTCATCCCTCTACTTACGGCAGTGATTTCAGTAAAGGACCATACCTTGATGCTGCATCTCTATTCCAGTTGGCTCTGGCCAAATTCTGAAAAGCCTGGAAGTACAACCAGGACTTGAGGAAGGGAATTAAAATTTGAAGAATTGAAAAACTTTTCATGTAGAAAAGCTCGAGGGCCATGCATTTCCATTATCATGTAAGTCAAGGAGTTTGGAATTGACCTTCCCTGGAAATTGAAAATAAAATTGCTGTATCCTGCCTTTCAGGTTGAAGAGGGGCTGTGGTTATACTCAGATTCCACAAACTCAGTCTTTCCAAGCACTTAGCTTGGGATCATCAGTTGAGAGGAATCTTTTCTAGGTTGAATGCATATTTGGCATGTGCAAGGTTCTGTGTTTGATCCCCAGCGTCAGGTCAGGAGGCCTCTTTCCTGAAATGAGTCTTTCTCTCTTATTACTGAATAACTGACTGAGAGATCACTCACATAAATGTCAAGGAAGAAACTTTGTCTATCCTGCTTCCTGGATCACTGAATAAAATTGTGTAAAATAATGTCTGTGTGTGTGTAGCCTTTGTGCTTAGGTTCCAAGAGTTTTACTTCAAGGCAAAGCTTGTATGTGAAGATGCACATGGCCTGAGATTCTCTAGGACTGAGAAGCCCTTACTTCCTGAAGACACTAGGTCTGGAAAGAAGAAGTGGAAGGAGAAGAACACCCCAAAGGAACTACTTGGTATTTTGAAAATACTTCTTAATTATCATTACAACCAAAGAGAAAATGCAAAGTCCAGAGGGAATATAAAGAAATTTGTGTGGTGTGCATTGGAGTAAACTTTCTTTTTGTAAAAGTCAAGCTTTTCCCAAATGGGAAGAATGGGGAGAACCTCAGTGAGCCCAGCACAACAAAGCCTCTGCTGAGCTCTGATATGTGGCAACGTCACAGAGGAGGTGACACAATGAGGATTCTCAATCAGTAAAAGGGGAACTTAGGCCAGGCATGGTGTTCAAGTCCTAGTTACTTGGGAGGCAGAGATGTGGAGGATCACAGTTTGAGGCCATCCTGGGGGAAGAGGGGGCATGTTCGAGAGATCCCATCTCAACCAATGGCTGGGCACAGTTGTGTGCATCTGTCATCTAGCTGTGTAGGGAAGCCACAAATAGGAGAATCATGATCTAGGCCAGCCTGGGTATAAAATGAAACCCTATGCTAGGAATCTTTCTGTATAGCTTATCCTTAACTCAGCTAGCAAAAATGCTTTGTCTTCCTTATTATGCTTATGTCTTTTCTTCAACAAAATTAGAGATAAGGACAGAACAGGTTCTACCTGGAAGTGAGGGGGGGAGGGGGAGAGGATGGGGGAGGGGTTCGGGGGAGAAATGGCCCAAACAATGTATGCACATGTGAATAAATGAATAATTTTTTAAAAAATACAAAAAAGGCTGGAGGTGTGCCTCAACTGGTAGAGTGCCTGCCTAGCAAGTGTGAGGCCCAAGTTCAACCCTCGGTACTGTGAAAAAAAATAAAGAAAAAGGGATACTTAAAGTATATGCTGAATCTGTCCCAGGATTAGACACAGGATTAGGTAGTAATTTAATACTTCTTGAACCAAAAATGTGATGTGTTCATTCTCTAGGGGGCATGCAGCCATAAGCGAATGAAATTGCTGTCAGAATGAGCTGGCAGCAGTGCCCAGTGGCAGAAAAGTAGCCTGTGTGTGAGTGTGGCCTCACCCTCCTGCCAGCTTCACAGTATCAAGACACTTGCTGAGTACACTGGGTTTCCTTCATCTTCGTGCAAGGTTATTTCAAGGATTAGCTAAAGACATATGTGAATATGCTTAGTAAATATCCAAATCACTATGCAAATGTGAGCTTTTAATTATTTCTTAAACAAAAACCCTACTTAAGGAATTGCTAAGGAATATTACCAGAGCAAATGAAGGGCCCAGTGGTTGGGAATTCCAGCTCAGACACATGGACCACTGTTGAATACCAGATCCTCACTTACCAACTGGGAGCAGTGATTTTAGCCTCTATGGCCTAGCTCCCTCACTCATAAAACAGTAAACATAATCATACCTACCTCTCAGGAGATGAGCCTGCAAGGAGAGCATGCAGCACAAACCATGACACATAGTGCCCAGTAAATTTGAGTCGTGGTTCTTATTAACTAAGGAGATCACCACAAGTAAAACTGCGACACAGGAAGACTTGGTAGGAAGTCTGAGGGGAGCTGATAGAACACATCTTCCAGGGAAAGCCACCCAGAAAAAAAGACCAAGAAGACTAATCTACTGACCCTGAAGCCTCTAGAGGCCCTGACTTTGAGTTAGGAGGAGGATTCACTGTTCTTGTCTCAGTGTACATGTCTTTGTGTCCGCATTAATTGTAGGGTAATGACCCACAGCCCAGTGGATCTCTTGGTATTTCTGGAAGGATCTCCATTGAGCATTTGTTTCCAGAGGCAAAATCACTTTTGACAATGGCATGTTCACATCACACAAGAAGGACTTGACATGCAAAGAACATCATCTCAAAATGGAGCAAGTCAGATTCTAAGCAGGAAAGGAGGGGGATGCAGGTGGTGGGAGGGGTGGGTGATGGATCTCAAATGTCAGGTTGCATTTGAGGCAGTTCTGGGCTGGGCAACCACAATGGGCTCTGGGCTGAGGCACATTCCATTATGAGTGGAGGGGGCATATAATGGAATGACATGAATGGTTTCTTATAATCAGAAAAGCACACTGACCTTCACACTACACAGGTGCAGCAGCATAATGACCCACCACGTGTACGTGCATCAATTCCTGGGGAAGAGTCCAATGAGGTTATCTCAGCATGTATCCCAAGCACAGAAAATCATGACATTACCCGCACAGAGAACATTGTTCCCCCTCCCCCATTAAGGTCCTTGGCTTGGGCAATTAACATGTAAAAGCAAAAATCACAGAAGGATCATACTCATTTTGATAAAGTGGGTAGAATATTGCAAGCAATATTGTTCTATGCCATAATTTGATTTGGGTTTTAACATGCAACCTTAGGAGTAAGCATTTCTTTTCAACAAGTAAATATTTGGTGTGAGGGTTTATGGAGAGGGGAAGTTCTCTGAAAAAACTACATAAAAGCATCCTCAGACTCCCTCACCACAAACAAACCACATCTACAAATAAACTGCCTTTAGTCAGATATGAAAGACTTGAGAGAGAGTAACCTTCCTTTCCATAAATTACCCACCAAAGTCCCCACCACCCCAAAAGTCAAGCAACTTGATATTACTGGTCACATCACTGGCACTTTACAAAATTAGCATAAAGGACTTGAACAGAGAGATGCAAGGCATAGGAAAATTACTGATATATCTATCAGGGTCCTTTTAATTTATGTATGATTTCAGTTCAGGAGTCTTCATTCTGATTTTGTAACCTCATCTTCCTCTGAAGTTAACACAGCCATGAAATTAATGGTTATGGCCTTATTCCAGAAAAAAGCAGTATGTGATACTAGCATTCCAAATCTCTGATAAAGCCTGAAGTTTTGCTAACAAATGAGTTTTTGTAAGAAATGAGAACATAATCTGGGTGCACAGATTATGTTCTCAACCCTGATGTAAGCAAAGTTAAGCAGGAGAAAGAATAATTCAGAATCCGTGTACTAAATCCTTCTCTGTGCCTGATACCAGGATGAGTAACACTGGACTGCTTGGAAGTGAATCACATGACATTCCGTCCTCCAGCCCCTTGCCCTGTTATAACCGCTGGCTTCCTGCTTGCTTCTTAGGAAATCCTAGTCTACTGCATTTGCAGTCTTCTTTATTCACCTCTTTCAGGTTGGAGGCTATCAGATCCTCAAATACACACATAAGGCCAGTGCTCCTGCTTGTGGTCTCCATTCCTATGATAACACTGGGACCTCCTAAATGTCTCAGAGTGCTGATTTGGAGTCCAAACATAGCACTCACCCAGGGAACCTCTCACAGTCACCCCAAAGGAACTCAGGTTCGTTACCCTCATATAGGATTCATTGCAAAATGTCCAGACTTAGTAATGGCTCATTTGCCCACCCAGGATACCCTGTCAGGAACAAGGAAATCTGCCTCAACTCTTCTTCCTCCCCCAGGCCATCTTTTTTGTCCAACCAAGCAATGAGTTCACCCATCCTACCTCTCAATCGTTCTAGAATTCATCTGCTTCTCATTATTTCTGCCTTCTCCATTGTGGTTCAAGCCTCTCTCTTACCCAGTGAACCCTCACTGGTCTCTCTATTCTCACCCCTGTCCCTGTGCATATATTCTGCACAATGGACACAATGCTTTCCTAAATTAAAAAAATGAAGTGATTGTGGCATTTCTTTGTTGTAGTGCCTTCTCATTTTCTTTAGGCCTGAGTTTTAGGCTTATTTCATACAAATGTGCAAAATGGATCTGGCATTATACTTCCTGCCTCACTGCGCCTGCCTCTTGCATACTCAAAATTCTCTGTCAGCACCAAGACTCATGCAGTGTTTGGAGGCACTCGTTTCTCCCTCCACTTGACACCTCCTTCCCTCAGTTCTTCCTCCACCATAAGCTTCAGTCCTGGAGATGGGCTTCCCTGGAGCCCATCAACCCCACTCTATGTCAAAGAATCTGGGATAGTACACTGTAGTTACTTTTGTACTTTTAAAATTAATTGTAATGAACTATTTATATAACAGTTTAATGTCTATCTTGCAAAGTTGACAGCATTCTCTAGGGATGGTGCTGTCATCCTCCATCCGTGGCACTGAGCTTGGTACAAGCTCTACAATCACTATCCCATGAGAATGTGATGAATGAATGAATGACCACGGCTGTCAAAGCCTTGGAGGAACTCATAGTCTAGATTTTGCCAGCTATAAAACAAGACTTTTCTTCCATCTGTCCTAATAAAAATATTAATTCAATGAATCAAACACACTTATACATTAGGAGAGTAAGTGGAAGAGGAAATTAGAAAGACTATTCAATTAACCTAGAAGGTAACACCCACGCACAGGAAATCAACGTGAGTCAATGCCCTGTATAGCTATCCTTATCTCAACCAGCAAAACCCCTTGTTCCTTCCTATTATTGCTTATACTCTCTCTACAACAAAAATTAGAGATAAGGGCAAAATAGTTTCTGCTGGGTATTGAGGGGGGGAGCGGGAGGGGGTGGAGTGGGTGGTAAGGGAGGGGGTGGGGGCAGGGGGGAGAAATAAACCAAGCCTTGTATGCACATATGAATAATAAAAGAAAAATGAAAAAAAAAAAAAAAAAAAAAAAAGAAAGACTATTCAAATTAAGCATTATCTATCTAGCACTTACCATGGGGAATACTGGAGTATTTTATTTTAAAGTTTACGGAATACTTAAACCAACCAGGAAAAAAATGAAATTACAGAAATAATCAAACACCCCTCACAATAGCCTTAAATGTAAATGGTTTTAACTCTCCAATTAAAAGATGCAGTTTGTCTGATTGAATTAAAAAAAAATAAAGTTCAACTCTTTGTTGTCTGCAAGAAACACACCTCACTGCCAACAGCACATGCAGACTGAAAGTGAAAGGACAGAAAATTATGTAGCAAGCAGGCAGAAACTAAAAGTAAGCAGGACTAGTTGTATTAGTATCTGACAAAGCCAAAATTAGTCATTAGAGATAAGAAGGTCACTATATATTTCAAAGGGAGACAATACATCAAGAAGATATGATTGTAAACGTATATGCACCAATCATTGATGCACCCAATTTCATAAAACAAACACTATTGGACATAAAGGGTCAGATAGGTCCTAAGACAATAAAAGTATATGACTTCAATACATCATTTTCATCAATAGATATTACAGACCAAAAAAAATCAACACAGAATATTAGAGTTAAACTGCATTTCCCAGATATCAACAAAATATTTCATGAAACAGATGCAGAGTACACATTCTTTTCAACAACCCATGAAACTTTCTCCAAAATAGATCATATTTTAGTCCATAAAGCAAGTCTTAACAAATGCAAGAAAACTGAAATAGTTTCTTGTATAATATTTGAGCTCAATGGAATAAAGTTAGACAAAAAAGAGCAAGAGAAACTATAGAAAATATACAAATGTACAGCTATTGAACAGTTTACTTTTGAATTAGTGGGTAATTGAAGAAATCAGGAAGAAAATTAAAAAATTCCTAGCATCAAGTGATAATAAAAGTAAAACATACCAGAAACTGTGAGATGCAGCAAAGACAGTTCTAAACGGGAAGTTATAGTTTTGAATAACTACATTAAAAAATCAGAGCGATCACAAATAAATAATCTAATAAGTACCTCAAGCTCTTAGAAACAAGAACAAGCCAAACCTAAAATTAGTAGGTGGAAATAAATGATAAAGATTGGGATGGAAACTGATGAAATGGAAACAAAAGAACAATATAAAAATCAATGACCAAAGAATTGGTTCTTTGAAGAAAATAATAAAAACATACATTTGGAGAAAAGACAATGAATTGTATGCATGTATGAAAAATTAATAATCAAACCTATTTAAATATTTTGGACGAAAGTTAAAAAAGAGGGGGCTGGGAGAGGCAAACAAGAGGAAGTGAAAGAGTGGGTGAATATGACCCAAGTACATTACATGCATGTATCACAATGAAACCCTTCAGTTTGCACAATTAATATATGCTTATAAAAATTTTTAAACTGCTAACAAATTTTACTATAAATTGTCTTCTGTAGTTTACTACTGGTTTAACTGTAAAACTTGATTCTAGAAAGAAGAGGAATGAGAGCAGGAGTGGAGACTTTATGAAGAAAATGGATGGGAATTTTAAAAAATCCAGCAATAGATTGTGAAATCTCATACCACCCTACCAAAGAGGATACAGATGGGGCCCTCTTTCATCAAGAATAAACCAGAGCCCAAGGAAATCAAATAATCAGATGGGAACCAAGTGATCTACCTATATGAAAACAACCAGATAAGTGCTTCATCCTGTATTCATCTCATCTTTGGCTTTATAGATCTGCCCAGGTCTCCATTTCTGCTCTGTAGGAGCTGGCCTGATCTCAGAGAATGAGTGCAAAGATTTGAAAACCCCAAGAAGTGAGATGTGTCAGTTTTAGGGCTCAACAGAGTTTAATTTGCAAATAACCTAAGGTTAGATGGTTCTTCCTTCAAAGACACAAGTGACTGGGAAACACTTGGAGCCATCACACAGAGTAGCAGGAAAATCAACCAGACAGGATGGCTCTGAAAACCCTTAGGATACAGTGACAGGAAAGCCTTGCCAGGCCCAGCCTTTCACAAGGCCGCTCCTCTCCAGGTTCTGGATGCCCACCCTGGTTCGGCCTCCTGGAGCTCCTAGCATCCTCTCTAGTTCTCTGTAGATTAGTGACAGTGACAATGCATTGTCATTATGGAATAGTGCTGAGAGATGGCACTGCCATCTCTGTGGCTTTGATGATTTGCCACTGCTGCTTGGGCACCTGATGGAGGTGACTAGATTAGACGATACTTGTGCGCCATATTCATTAGCCACTACCCAAATGAACCAAGGTTAAAAAACAAATAACAGAAAGCACATTGGCCTTCAGAACATATGGTGATTAATCACGCAATACACTTTTAAAAGCCGTTTAGCTTCCCTCCTTCCCCATTCATTCAGACATCTGATAAGTGGAGAATTTTTGAGAAAGACATCAAGATAATTTTTAGGTGGGAGATACATAAAAGTCAGTAATATAAAGGTGACACATTAAAATTTTTTTCCCAAATTATAGAAACAATGTACATTTGCTGTTTTAAAAGTCAAACTGTA